ACTAATACTAAAAACAACATGTTTCATACATATACGTCTTCTATTCTGTGTCTAGTAAAAAAAGTAAAAATAGTGTAACTCTAAAAATCGTGCGGGGATTATTTGGAAAATACGGTGGAATTCAACAAGTGGTAACAAGCTATAAAAAAAGAAAAATGAAATTTACAACGTATGTATCAAAATATAAATTTCACATTTGAGGTAATGAACTTTTCGATCCTACATACCAGATTTTGTCTATCTTTCTTGAATACCGTCTGCCTTACTTCTTCAAGTCACTTTTCAAGTCAACGTTCGAACCAAGTTAAAAGTAATTCAATTAGTAAAAAAAAACTTAATCCGAGTGTGCCAATTTCGGGAGTCAAAATGTTCCATTTAAACAACATATTTCCAAGAAAACACGTTTTGAATGGTTTTTTCTTTTGCCAAACTACGGGAATCTTCGAAATTAAATTCATGTTTCTACGTTAATGCATGTTCTGTGAGTTCACAAGCATTCATTTTTTTTTTGTTTTTATATCTTTACAATGTAAGATCACTCTACTGTGAAAATTACGAGATGATTCTCCAATATATACGTTGTTACAATTGGTACACGGTATAGAATAAACAACATTCGATGACTCCTGTATTGTAAAAGGATCTTTAGTTTTTGTGTATAAGTTCGATACCGTTTTCACATTATTGGTTGTAATTTTTAAGCCACTAACATTTTTGAAAATGTTCATTAGCTTATGTGTCAAAACTGGAATGTAGGGTAGGCAACCATAAGTTATTTTAGATGGTATCACTGTGTTGTGTGTCAATGTCAATTGTCGGACCTCATTATTAAGAAAATTTTGGTTGTCAGAAAATTGCGAAGGAAAAGGAGAACCAAAAATTAGTTTATTTAAAAGCCCTATGGGATAGGAGTTTTCTTGGAGTATAGACCTCAAATTTTTTAGTCCCTTGTCCCTGAACTCGATGTGTGACAAGTTGATAACCCTAGTTTTTAGAGCCAAAACCAAATTTGTTTTATCTTAAGATAGATGTTGAGAATGAAAGTTATGAAACGGTTACTAAAACAAGGTTTACGATACCACTCCGTCCTTAGCATGCCATCATTGCCACGATGGATAAGCATGTCTAAAAAAGGAATCATATTATCAGCCTTTCTCTCAACCGTAAACTTTAGGTGTTCACACTGGGCGTAAAAGTGTTTAAAACATCAGTTACTTCGTTTTCAGGGACCGATAAAATCAAATCATCTACAGATCGTTTAATAAAAGGTATGTGAAAAGGTATCTTTTCTTTACACGTTGTTATAAGTTCATCCAAAACAATGTTGCATAGTATGGGGGATATTTTGCTGCACATTGGAGTGCGAAAGATTTGTTTAAAAAAAATTACCATTGAACTAAAAGATGTTAGAGTCAAGTATAAATGTTAAAATTCTTATAAAATCATCTAAACTGATCTTGGTATGCGGAGAGATGCTGTTCCAGTTATTTTTGATGCTGTTAAGAATAGCATCTAGTGGTAAGTTTGTAAACAGTGACACACCATCTAAACTAATCAATATATAATTATTCGGAACTTTAACATTGTTAATGAAGTTACTAAACGTGGAAAGAATCTCTAATATAGAATTCGTTAGATTCGATGTAGGACATTGTGAGGATATCTGTAAGGTGCTTAGCAAGTTTACTGTTAGGAGCATCAATGGAAGAGACAATAGACCTCATTGAAATAGTGGGTTTGTGAACTTTAGGCAGTGTATAAAACCTGGGTGCAATTGCATTGTAAATTTTCACGGATTTTGCAACTTCTGTTGGATAGATTATGGATTTGGAAGAAGCTAAATCCGAAACCAACTTGTTCGCCTTTTGTTGGAGGGTGCACACCGGACTGTTCTTAAGTTTGATGTAACTTTTTGTCTCATTTAATAAACTATTACTTTCTTCAATGTAATCATTTTTTGTCACTCCTAACAAGCTTATCATGTATTGTGAGGTCGAAAATAGACTCGGATAGTTAGGCAAGATTCTTGAGTAAATTTCCCACCCAACAGGGTGGTATTGCACATAGAGCCATCTACTTTTGAAGACAGAAAATATCCACCACTGAGTGTTTCTGAATTAAGTAATCGGGAACAAATAATGAACTTGCGAAAACTTATCGAAAATATATAGAAAATTTAAATGTTAATATGTTTCGTGAACTATCAGAAGGCATTTGATTGCATTAGTTGACAAAATCTTTGCGATATTCTTATTTTGAGCGCACCTATACACCTAGCTGCACTTTAAGACTTTTTTAAGGAGAACATCCTTGACCTGGGCTAGTAGGTGTCTAAAAGAAAAATCTCCAACTTAAAATCCTTTTAAATAAACTAAGACAGCAACAAAGCAGGAAATGATGGATTTTTGCGAAGGGTGTTTGAAAGACTTGTTCCTCAAAAGTAGTAATATCAACACTCACAGGGTTAGATTAAAACAAAGTTGGACATCTCCACATCACCTATTACATACAGATTGTACAATTTTATGCTTCGACTTGTTGCAGCAATATAAGACGTCACCAGTAGAGTTCTTATCTTTGTCAGGTTGATATTTTGATGTTCTGTACACATGCATAAAGATCTTGTTAATTATAGCTTTTAAAATGCTTAATTGTGATTAGTTAATAAATATATGTACATCTACGAGAGATATTCTGAAAATTTTTGGTACTGTACAATGTTATGTCGTGTTAAAGGTCGATTATCTTCAAAAATGAGAAAACAACCAAAATAATGTAGAGAGGAAACAAAAACTAACTGATGCTTTCTTCAAATTTATTCTAGCAGCAATTTTTTTTTATGATCTGTCAATTGTAGATACAGTTTCTTCTTCTTCTTCTTTTTTATAAGCAAAATGCTTGTTCAATGTCGATTAATGCCTCTATTGGAGGTTATCACTCCATCTTTTGCGTGGTCGCCCGATACTTCTTCTACCTTTTGGTGATTTGTCCCTCGCTATTCTGACTAATCGGGTCTCTTCCATTCTGTTTATGTTTCGTTCCATTCCTTTTTTCTGTTCAGTGTCCACTCATTTATTTCTGGTATATTGCATTTTCTTCTGATCTCTTCACTCCTCATTCGATCCCTCAGTGTGTTTCCTGTAATTCTCCTCAGTAAACGCATCTCCGCTGTTTCTAGTAGTTGCTGAGTTTTGGAGGTATCCGGTCTTGTCTCTGAAGTGTATGTCATTATTGGTCTTATTGTTGCTTTGTAGATTCTTGATTTCACGTCGGTATTAATGTGGGGATTGCGCCATATCGTGTTATTAAGACAACCTGCTATTTTATTAGCCTTTTGTACTTGATTTTTCACTTCCTTCTCCACATCTCCGTAGCTAGACAGTGTAATTCCTAGGTAATTTGTCTCCATTACTTGCTCAATGCTGATACCGTCGATTTCCAGTTTACATCTAATTGGTTCTTTACTGATTACAATTGTTTTAGTTTTCTGTGTAGAGATCACCATATTAAAGTCCTTTGTCCTTGTGTTGAATCTATGGGTTAGTCTTTGTAGATCGTCTTCATTGGATGCAATTAGGGCCGCATCATCTGCGTAGCAGAGTATTCTGATTTCTTTGTTCCCCATTTTAGTATCCTCTTCCTTTATTAATAGTATTGATGATTTCATCCATGATTAGATTGAATAGCGTTGGACTAAGCGAGTCTCCTTGTCTTATTCCATTGCCCATATCTATTGGATCTGTAAGCTGGTCATCTATTCTGACTTCCATATTGTTGTTCTGGTAAATGTTCTCTATTGTTTTTATAACATTTAGTGGAATTTCTCTATCGTAAAGAAGGTGAATTACATCTTTAAGCTTTACTTTATCGAACGCTTTCTTCAGGTCTATTAGACATATGAATGCTGGTCTGTTATACTCTAGTGCTTTCTCGGTAATCTGTTTTATGATGAATACTGCATCTGTGCACGATCTTCCTGTGGGAAAACCCTGCTGTTCATCCGCTAAGGTAATTCTCTGATTTATTTGGCCTTGCAATATTTTGGTTGTAAGCTTCAAAGTGGTGTTTAATAAGTTGATACCTCTGTAGTTTTCAGGTTGTTTTTTTATCTCCTTTTTTGTATAGTAGGATAAGCTCGCTTTTCTTCCACTCTTCAGGTATTTTATTATGTTTGATAATTTTGTTAATTAGTGCTGTTAGCTGTTCTGTTAATGCTTCTCCACCATATTTCAATAATTCATTTGGAATTCCATCTTTACCTGCAGCTTTTCTGTTCTTCAGTTTTTCTAAAGTTTGTTTTACTTCTTGTACGGTTATCTCGACTTCCTCGTTTGTAATGATTTCTGGTGTTTCTGGTTCTAAGATCATTTGCTGTTCATCATTATAAAGCTTCTTTAGGTATTCAATCCATGTGTCGTTATCTATGTGTTTCGGTTCGATTAAGTCTTTCATCTCTGATCTTTGGCCTCTTATGAACCGCCATATTTCCTTTTGTAGACCGTAAAAGTCGTGTTTCATTTTTTTTGAGAAGCGTTCCCAGTGTTCGTTTTTAATTTTTCTTACTAGTGCTATTGTTTCGTTTCTTATCTTTTTGTAATTGTTGTATTCTTGTGGTGTTTTGTTAGACATGTATCTTAAGTAAGCTTTCTTTTTTTTTTAGATACAGTTTGGTACGTTCAATTTTTTCTTTCGTAAGTTTGTTGTTAGACAGACCAAAGTATGTATATGAAGTGAATCATTCGGTTACATAACCCTATAGCAAAAATACAAGTTTGTATTTATGACACTAGGTTTGCATCAAACAGTTTTTATGTTTCCAGGAACTATCCGACAAGGGATTTTGTAAGAAAACTCCCCGTTTATTCATGACATTACAAAAACTCATATTCTCAAAGTGTTGTAATAAATAATTTAAAAGGATAAAGATAAAAATAAGTAGTTCTTTAAAGAATTTACAGAATAGCTCTCGAACATAATATTTTAACCTAAATTATATTTACCGATACTGTTAAACCTTCTTGGTAAAGAATTTATTTCGGTTATGAAACCTTCTTCCAGACCTTCTATAAATGCTTTTAAACTTTCAGATGAGAGAAGATTGGATAGACCATTTAATATTTCGGTGCTTTTTTTAGAAATTTCTTTATCGACATCTTCTGTGAGCGCAATTACTATCTCTATAAGATGACTAGAAGATAACGGCATTGTCCTACAAAATATTAAAAACATATTTAAATTTCTTAATTAGTAAGACAAAGAAATATATTTTAAACATAATAATAACCAAATTACCACATCGAAGATTCTACACCTGGAAATCTCCAGCTGAGTGTAAAAAAAATGATTAGAAACCAGATTGACTATATCATCATCAAACGATTTCAGAATTCCGTAAAATCCGCAAAAACATACCCAGGAGCAGATGTTACATCAGAAGAGCATAATCTTTTACTAGGACGTTTCAAACTGCACATGAAAAAGTCCATAAAAGAAAAGCACAAAAACGTCGCGACATCCAGAAATTGAAAGATAAAAGCACAGGAGGCGAAGTCAAAGATCAACAACACAATAAACAACATCTAATCTCAGATATTAATCAAGAAACTATAGGTGTGGATGATATGTGGAATAAAATCATCTGTAATTCAGTGGTAGATAATAAACTTAAACCAGAAAACAATCTAAAGAAACAGCCGTGGATGAGACAAGAAATATTAGAGTTAATGGAAGAACGAAGAAAACGCAGAAATAAAAATGGGGAAAGGTACAAAGAAATAAATAAAATCATTAAGAAAATGATTAAAGAAGCAAAAGAATCATGGCTACAAGATCAATGCATAGAAATAAAATCCATAGAACAGAAGCTTGACACTTTTAACTTACATAAAAAGATCAAAAAATTAACGGGAGGAAACTGATCACGAAGTCATAACTTAATACTAAACGAGCACAACAATCTGCTCTACTAAAATGAGAGAATACTGGAGAGATGGAGGCAATACATGGAAGAATTATTGAAGGAAGAGCAAGAGGCAGAAGTCAGTGTTTCAGGATGTTCAAGACCAGAAATAACGCTCAGTGAAGTAACATAGCAATAAAAAGACTAAAAACTAGATCTGTAAGTCCTTAATTCATTATTAAACCATTGCACGGGTGTTTTTTTAGCAGTTTATCGCACATTTTTTAGTGGAAAATGCTTTAATATTAAATTGTTATAAGTTTCGGTAAGAAAGACTGTCAAAAAATCAGGATCATTATTAATATCACAGAAAAAGTCCATATTTGTACTAGCTAGCGCACGTTTAAGCTTCTGTAAACCAGAAGAAGTAATAAACCGATAAAATGTTTGATTAGTGTCAACAACTTTATAAGTCAAAGTCACCCTTGCCCGATCTGGATACAGTTGAAATATTGGTTTTTATTGAAGGTGCATAAATTGCACAAAACTCAGAATTTTAGCTCTACATTATATTCATTTAGATTAAGAGAAGAATACATAAAATTTTCTTTTACATAAATTGCAACTCTGCGTTGTTGCCATTGGAAATGAAATGGATATCAGTATATGATGGATATGGTATGGTATGGTATGGTATCGGTATGGATATGGTATGTTTTGGGCTTAAAAATATTTATCTAATGGACAACAACTTAAAAAGTAAAATCAACACTTAGTCGATACAAATAAAATGAAAAATAATGACAGAAGATGTATCAATGTTCAAAATAGCCAACTGAAAGAATGTCATCATTAAGATTAATGAAATTTAAATTATAATGTAATATACTAAAAAATGGTAAATGAAATGAATGTAACAACTAAAACTATAAAATGCTCACCCTAAGCAATTGTTCATAATTATTTGGCACATGTTTAAAAGTTCCAAGCGAACCTGCTTTTGAGGATAATGTGCCAATTTACGAAAGTCCCTCACAAATATCTGCAACATTTGATCCGTCGATACATGAAACTTCTTGTTCAATAAAGTAGTTTCAATATGTTCGGTAATTTCAGCATTGTTAGTCCACTTTTTGATCGGTTTATCTTTTTCTTTACTATAGCTGTTTTTCATTGATCTGGCAAACTCTACAATGTTTGGTACACTCGAAATCTCATCGTAGTTTTGCATAACGAGGGTGACTATTCTGCCCCATGTTTTGAGGGCTACCTACAACAAACAAACAAACAAACATAGCAATATATTATATCACACGATCAACACGTCTCGTTATTTTTAATATAGTTCTTACATTGTTGGATGCAAAATCAACATATTTCCAGAAAAGTGAAAAGTATTTCGATCAGCCTACAGTCCATTATTTATACATGACTAGCTGAACCGAGAAACCAATGCATTAAAAGCTCATAGAGCATCCCTAGTTAATCATCATGACTAACAATACAACCAAACACTCTAATGATCATGAAACTCGGAAAACAAGATCCAACAGAGGAGGAAACTCACAAGACTGCAAGGCCTCCCCGGTCGTCAGCATGCGAAAAACTTGCAAAGTTGCGACTTGAAATGTTATAAGTCTACATTAAGCTAAAAAAGTACATAATGCCGTTAAAGAAATGGAAAGGCTGAATATAGATATTTTAGGAATCAGCGATGTGTAAATCAGGAAAGATATAATTCAACAATAAAACAATATATTATTCAGGAAGTCAAGACGGTTCACACAGATATGGTGTCGGGATAATATTAAACAAAAACATTGATGAAGCTGTAATAAATTTCACTTCATACTCAGAAGTGAAAAGAATAACAGAAATATACTCTTACAATTAAACCGAAACAAACCCAAAATAAACATCTTAAAAGTTTATGTTCCAACTGCGGACAAACTAGAGAGCGATATTGAAACTTTCTACTAAGACCTAGGCAACATTTTAAAATCCATTAAAACGCAAGATGTAACAATTATAATGGGAGACTTTAACGTAAAGGTTGGGGAAGAAAAAGTAGGAGAATGTACAGGAGGATATGGTCTGGGCAACAGAAACGAAAGGGGTGGCAGGCTTATCGAATTTTGCCAAAACAATAATTTTGTTATAGCTGATACATTGTTCAAAATGCCAAAGAGAAGAAGATTATATACCTGGAAGTCACCAGCAAATCAAAAAGAGAGAATTGTAAGAAACCAAATAGACTATGTATTAGTTAGACCAAGATACAGGAACGCAATTATATCCGCAAAAACCTATCCAAGTGCCGACATAGGATCAGATCACAACCCAGCAGTGACCAAAATTAGGCTCAAAATGAAAATAATAAAACGAAGAACAACAAATGCAAAAATCGATACAAATAAATTAAGGAACCCACTCATAAGACAACTCCTGGCAGATGAAATCAACAACGGATTAATGAATGTTAAAGAACAAATTCTGCAAAATACTGAGACAGATAAAAAATGGTTATTACTAAAGACAGAAATAGATAAAAGTCAAAAAGAAATTCTAATACCAGATCTAAAAACCAGTCTAAAAACCAGATATAAAAAAAGCAATGGATGACAGAAGAAATTTTAGATTTAATGGAAGAAAGACGTCAATATAAAAACAAAGATAATCAGATGTACAAAAAAGTGGATAAACAAATAAAATACAGAATTAAGAAAGTAAAAGAACAATGGATAAAAGAACAATGCGCACAAATAAAAGAATACCAGAAAAGACATGATAGTTTTAACACACATAAAAAAAATTAAACAATTAACTCACAACAATAGAACAAGAAAACCGGGAATACTGAAAGATGCAAATGGGAAACTTGTGTTAAATACTAACGACAAATTAAAGAGATGGACAGAATACATCAATCAACTCTTCAAAGACAACAGAACAGAGCAGCTGGAGATAGAAGTAGATACGGTTTTTAAGATATTAAAAGAGCAAATTAAAATGGCATTAAAAACAGCAAAAATGGTAAAGCAGTTGGTCCAGACCAAATCCCTATAGAAAACTTAAAATTCATAAATGATGAACAAAACAGGACACATTCCGAAACAATGGTTACTCTCCACCTTTGGTGGTATCCCTAAAAATACAAACGTTAAATATTGCAGTGAATACAGAACAATATCACTAATAAGTCACATTCTCAAATTATTCTTGAAAATAATACATGGTCGTATAAATAAAAAACTGGAAGAAGGAATAGATGATAATCAGTTTGGGTTCAGAAACGGACTAGGAACTAGAGAAGCGTTATTTGCTTTTAATATGTTAGCTCAAAGATGCATGGATATGAATGTTGATGTGCATGTTTGTTACGTTGATTTTGAAAAAGCATTTGACAAAGTAAGTAATGAAAAACATAGTCCAATTTCTAAAGACAAAAAATATAGACCATAGGGACTAACGAATAATAAAAAACCTCTACTGGAATCAAAGAGCACAAATCGTAATAGATAATGAACCCAGTCCACATATTGAAATCAGGAGAGGAGTTAGGCAGGGATGTATTATGTCCCCATTACTATTTAATGTATACAGTGAAGCTACATAAAAAATATGTATGTATTTATAGCGTTAACATGTCTTTTAGGACCATTGCTGGATCGACATAAAAAAGCATATCTTAATAATAAACTAAAATATAAATCAAATTAATGGGTGAAAGACCCATGCACTCTAAATTACTGTTACAAAAATTTCATGATCCCGACAGTATATGTGAATATACATATTGTTACAATACTTACAGCTTGTACTTTAAAGCCAACTTTAGAGTCTTCCAGCACAATTTTCGTTATGTCACTGGCAATGCCAGGTAGAAAAAACATAAATACTTCTGCCAACTGCCTCCTAAGTACTATATCATTAAAATTCTCGTCATCAAATACTTGTGCTATGCACATTAGGCATTCCATCGCAGCAATTCTACAATAGATATTAATTTATTCACAAATAAATAAACAAATAAAATAAATATAAAGGTAAAGAAATTTAATTCATCAGAAATTAATCAGAAAGCAAATTTCTTTGTATAAATATGATACCACAGTAGTAAGCATGGAATCATTATTACTTACTTTAAAAATCCACAGTGATTGTTATCTTAATATTATTTAAATTAATAAAATTGCCTTTAATTGAATTTTTAACTTGTTAACAGATTTAGAAGGATTGTTCAATATATCAAATCCTGTTTTTTTTGTCAAATTTAATTTGCTAAATCTCCTGTCCATTTCTACTTCTATTTCACAATGTCGTTGATAATATATTTGCCTTATATTTTCTTGTGGGTATCAAAGTTATTTTGAACTTTTCAGATGCTGTTTCCCAGGTTGTACTAAGTATTCTTAGACCTTGACAAACTGAAATACTTGAGCCATTGGCCAGCCAATTGAAGAGGAAGACAACTTAACCATAAACTTAAGCACACAACACAGACTGCAGGGTTATACCTGGTACATACACAGGTCTAAAACTGCAAACTGCTGAAGGATCAGGTGACGGAATTTTCATTATTGGTAGAAATGTAGACATTTCTATTCCACTTATGTAATGTAACTGCATTCCAGGAGAAATTAACATTAGGGCTTTCAAATTAAACCACATCAATACATGCACAGATAAAATGTCTGATTTCTTCTATTCTTTGTTTCAAGTTAAGAAAATAACATTACGCTTATGGAGATCAGTGTTGCCAAAACTCTCAGACACTCTCTTTTGCACGGATGTCCAAGATATTCCCTTTGCTTAATTTTTGAATTTTCATTTTTAATTAACATTGAACTGTAAAGTCAGAATAACTACTAAATAAAAGCTTCATTATCATTATGTATTTAGTCAGAGAACGACATAAAATCGCTGACATACGCAAATCGTATTATTTTAAGTTGCAATTAGTAATTAGATATACGCATCCGAAGTCCGTTTATTTGCTTTTAAAACTTTAATAGGCCGTAAAATGCATGATTTAACTAAGCAATATTGTCTACTGATTTCTATGATTCATGGCTCACCGAAAAACAAATAAACTGTCGTTACTATAATTAAAATAAGATAAAATAAAATTATCTTTTGTAAATACTATTTATCTAATTAAAATCATTTTCCCTACTTTTCATCTCTTGTTTTGAATGGGCACTTATGGTCAATTAAGTTAAAAAAACATTAATTTAATTCATGTCTGTGGAAACGAAAATACAAATTATTCAAACCCTAAATTGTGCTTGTGTGTGTCGTGGCAACGCCGCGTTTCTATCGTCCATAAGAAATACATGGCCCTATCTCCGCAATGTTATTTTCTTAAGGTGGAATGTAGTATAGTGCCTGTAACAACAAAATAGTCCTGCCTTCTAGATATGAAGCTCATTCTCGATTCCCTCAGTGATGTGTATTACATTTACCAGTCCTGAAATTATTTCAAGCCAGATTAATCAAATTCTAAGAAACATTGAAAATTTAGGCCACATCTTGTTTAGTATGATTACCATGTTATAAAAGGATCACTAAAGAGGCAAATTTTTTTAGGTTAAACCTTCACAGTAGCATATGGTACCAAATACTAAGTAGATAATATCACAGTGATAGGTCGCATGTTGACACTAAATAAAATGGTATAATATTTGTACTTCAGTGACAAAATGCTTTTATAAAAACAATAATTACCTCAAACTTCTTAGTTTCTCAACTTTGGCAATCTCTTTGGCAACAAAGACCATCTGGCACAGTTTAGGAGCATGTACTTTGTTATAAAGTTCAGATAACAGATCTGTTGATACAGATCGTGCCAAGGCTTTGGAGCAAAGCATAACACTGAGCTTCATTTCCTCTGGAATTGGTAGGACTAAAAACAGATATAACTATGTATTAGATTGCTTGTTCACAGTAACTACATTTGTCAAGAAATAAGTTTCAGATTTTTAGTTTTGCTCAAATTGCTGAAAAAACTGATGTAGAACTAAAAACAGCTTAGAGCATGACTCATTTGCATAAAGCATTCAATTAAAGTTTAAATGGTATCAAGAATTATTTAAACTATCAAAAATTTGTCCAAACCTTTATTTTCTCTGGAATCATAAATTACATAGAGCAGAAGTGAATACATATTAAAAAATAATCCCATATTATCAATTGTAGATTTTTCGAATAGATTTGTTAGAGTATCAATAAATTTATGGATAAACTTGGTACCAAATCTGTAACAAAAAACAAACAAGCTAATAATTACATAATAACAGCTTAAGAAAATACAAATTCAGGATTTCCTTAGGCTGTATACATTTTTGTAAATGCTACAATATACTTTTTGAGCATTCAGTAAATGAAACTCAGTTCCAATATAGATAAAAAGTACCAATATGGAAGGTAGGAAAATTTGTTTTTTTTTTTATTTATCTAGCCTCATTTAAAACACAAAATGATTGTTATTACATTAAAAGAGTGCTTACTACTGCTAAAAACTAATAATTATATTAAAAACTAAACTAAGACAGAATAAAACAAGTAAAAAACACTATACTTACATCTAAATTAAATTTTAAGACAACCACTTTTGCAGACTAGAAATTTGTTTCAAAAGCAACTTTTATTTGTTTCACAGAAGAATTTAAAAAGACTATATTATTAGATGTATTTTTGGAAAATTAAATTTAATATTATTTATAAAAAAACAATCGTTTTATTTAATTTGACTTACAATATAGTAAATAAAAAGGGCTGAATGAAAATATCTTCTATTATCCAGTCACTGAACTTTAAAATAAGTTAACATAACATTATAGGAAATCATGTATGGATAGATACTAAACTTTCTGACATAAAGAAACCTCAAGAATCGTTTTTGATCCTTTTCAATAAGATCAACATTGAATTCAGTTTGTGGTGATCATACAATAGATGCATACCCAAGTGAGGTCTTACCAGTATAGTATATTAGAGTTTCAAATCTTTTAAAAAACTTTGAATTACGAATTCTGAAGCCAAGAGTTCTGTATGCCTTTCCAATGACGATCCAATAATGTCCATTCAATCTCAAATTTTGCTGAGATATTACTCCAAGATATTTGCAAGTGTTCTTTCTTCCAAGTACAGTGCTAGAAATTTTGGATTGGTATTGTGTTTTTCGAGTGATAGTAAAAACATGACATTTAGAAGTGTTTAGAAACATTTTGTTATCATAGAACCATTGACTTACTGAGTTCAGATCACATTGCAGCATCTTAGAGTCCTACAGAGTTGAAATTTCTTGAAAAATCTTAAAATCATCTGCAAATAGCAGGCTTCTGCTATCTGCTATGATTTCACATATATATTTTGGTTATAAACAATAAAGATTTTTTTATATACTTATCAGGTACTTTATAATTTTACTACCAAGTGTTATAATTTCAAAATGATATAAAAAAAAACAAACACCTAATTCTTTAAGTACCAAAATTAATAGCAGTACACTGATTTCATGATAGTTTTAAACACTTTTCAGGAACCATCTTGTCAGGCTACTGTTCAAATGAACAGCTCTTGTCGGAACAGCTTCAATACTCTGAGCTGTATGTTTGGATGACTGTCCACTTTTAGTATTGTGACCAGTTCTTCAAATATCTCTGAAAAACTGCAGCAAGTTTGCACACTTTTATAAATCATTAATTCACATCTGCACATAATTCACACCTACTGGATAAGTTTTGTTTGTTACTGTGTTTTAATTTCAAGAATTGTTTGCAAAATATATGTAGGTATACACATGCACAAGGTTTAGAAAACTTCTAAACCTTGTGCATGTCCACAAAAAGTGAACATTACTATGTACATTAAATGTAGGTGGAAAATGTATATACAAAGGGACTAAACATATTACAAGATACAAAAATTTAAAAAATGCAATTTGAAGGCAAAACTGTAGAGCATTTAATAATTATAGTACATACCTTGTTTCTTTTGTTGAGATACCCTTTATTATGGGATAAAACGATGCAAGCACGGAAGGCTGTACTACTTTTATACAATTCTTGGAAGCATCTTTGATCAATTTATTTAATAGCTCAAGATTTGCCTCGTCATTAGGATTTTCCACCATACTTTGGCAAGCGATTTTAAATCTGTAGAAGGTTTGAAAATCTGGGTAAGTTTCTTCCATATTCACTGCTTTAAAATTTAACAACCACTTGTATCGGTAAAACTTTGTTGTTATGGTTTTAAGGTTATGTCGGTCGATATGTTTGTATTGCAGTTTGTTGCCCTACGTTTAGCCGATTCTTTTGTTAGAAAAGGAATTTATAACTTAAAATGTGTAGTGATACGTGAGTGTCCCCAAGGAAAATGAGTTGGAAGTAGTAAAGGTAAGTTTGTTATACATAATACATAAAATATTTTAAAGTTTAAAATATATTCGCTAAATTGTATTTTCCTGAAATCAAAAATGCATTTGATTTGAGATCGACAGCGAATAATTCCGAAGTCGCAAAATGACACTCTCGGAATTGCCAATTGCCATTGCCAACCTTACAAACTTTCTGTAATAATTTTATTTATAATTATTTTAAATTATTTTATATACTTTATTAAGTCAAATAAGTTATGTCTATTAGATAAGAATTAATATGATATACTCCATAGCAACAAAAATACTAACCATAAATTCATTTTTTTTTAATTTGAGGTAGGTACCTACAGTTATATTCTTCTAATAAATAAAAACAATTTCTACCATTCTACACTATATTCTATACATTTTTTAAATATTAGATTTTATGACTGTTGTTACATGACTTAATTTCTTTTAGTTATCTTCTGTTAATTTCATGTAGATATCTTCAAATTATACTGAAACAATTTTTAGCAATTATTTCAGGACATATTGTAATCGCAACTAACAGTAAGCTGTAAGTACCTATAGTTTTGCGAGTTCTAAATAGTTCGAATTTAAAACGGTTTTTGTTTTTTAGCCAAATCTTGGACAATAAACAAGATATCTACTTTAATAGACCTTAACACTTTTGTTTTTATTTATCACTTGTATTAACATTGTTCATTTATTTTTAGTTAATTTCTTATAAAATAATTCAACAAATGTTTTAAAATAACTAGGTACCCATGTAGTAGGAGGGTAATGCTAATTCTGTATGTAAATCTTCGTTTCTGAAAACGTTACTTTCTACAACTCTATATTTTTAACTCTTGATAAAGAACATGGATCAAAACGTGTAAAGGCTCGATATCTCATTTTTTTTTAACCAAGGTTCGTAATTCGTATAACAATACCACAGTATATGGCTTTTAACATTAAACTGTGAGAATATTAATGCATGGCTTCCTCATTAATCTATAACTCTAGGATTATTTATGAAATACCCTTATGCCTTGAACACTTTAACGCATCGCAAGGAGTGATCTAATAAAGCGCTGGAAAATAATTTGGTTTATACGCAGGGGCGGAGATTAAGTAAGGGTAATACCTAATATAAAAATTAACGATAAATAAAGAAATCAAACACGGGACAACACCATGGTTGAACGATAAAATATAAGAAAGGATGAAATATGGGATAATAAAATCACAGGTGATAATAAAGTTATCTTGTCAAAATGATAGGTAAAATTTAATTTCATTTTTGGTAAGTAAGTACATAGGTATTTGCAACATTCGTAATTATGTGTGGTTCGGTTATAAAATTTGGCATATGATATAATGATTTGCTTCAATACCTAACAGATTTTAGCGTGTTTAGTTTGACATTTTAGATAAGTTTGAAGCGCATTTTTTCTTGTTACAGCTTTTCTAGCTTACCAAATTAATTCCACAACTTAAAATACCATGTATATTAACATGAATCAATTACAATAATTTTGTGAAAATTGTAGCTTGAAAAGGATTTCCGAGATGGAAGTCGAAGCATAAAATAAACTAATTATAATTTTCAAAATATAATAATTAAAAGTGTAGTTGTTTGTTTCTGCATATCACTGGTATTAAGAATAGATGTGGTAGTCTAAACAACGTGATCGTGTTTATAACTTAAACATTTGCTCACGTGGTACGTGGTGATTTTTTGAATTGTGTCGAGATTTTAGTTAGTACTAATTTCAATTTTATCTACTGCTGTTCTAAAACTATAAACAATGAAATGCAATTGTATGGGAGTTCGAATTGGGATGAGGCAAATCTACACTCTTTAATATGCGGATGACCAGGTTGTCATTACTGAAGAGGACGATGCAAACTACATGATATGGAAATAACTTGAAGAATACTCAAAATGGGGTCTGTAAAATAATGCTAAGAAAATTAAGTTTCTCATAATAGGAAAACCTGATGCAAAGAATATTCAAACCGATGCAGGGGACATTAGAAGATCACAGTGTTGCCGATACTTAACATTTCAGTTAAATGCAGATGGAAAGGATAATGCAGATATACAAAACAAAATAGGTTGAGGTAATACTACAACAAGAAATTTACATTCCCTGCTATTGAATAAAAGTTTGTTAAATCAAACGAGGAAAAAGTTACTCAGATTGTTATTAGAAAGCACTGTAACATAGGACACAGAAGTCTGGACATTATCAGAAGAGAATCAAAGAAAACTTAATACGGTTGAAACAGGATTTTATAGAAGATGTTGTCAAGCTTCCATTATTAGACCGTGAAGAAATTCGGAACACAATGGTTATACAAACGAACTTAGTAGACAGCAGAGAATGAAATAACTGTTCCAGTATAGCCATATGAACAGAATACCATACGAAAGATTATCAAACCAAATTTACAATTGGCTCCCACAAAGAAGAAGAAGGAGAAGAAGTTCAGAAAAAAGATAGAAAGAAGGTATCAAAAAGGCAATGAAAATGATTACTGTTCGGATTACTTCCCGTCATCTTCACGATCATCTCTCTCACAGTCACAGGGTTCATACATATTTCTCTATACATTCTGTTTCTCTCCACTGTACATCTATTACACTCAATCGTATTGTTCCACTCTTCTTACTATCTTTCCATTGATCTTTCCCTTTCTTCTGTTTTTATAGCTGTTGTCAAAAGTTCTCTTCTCTCATTGAGATGTTTCCTTTCTACTGCTAACATATGCAGAGGAACACAATCCGTGATAGTCCACAAGGCCGCCACAAATACAGTCCTGTAGGCACATGGCACTAGCAACAGTCTCGTTCTGTCTACTTTTATCATGAGCCTAATATTAGGTATCTATATCTAAATATCTATATCTATACCTAATATTAGGGATACCTATATTAAATATAGTGTTTTGGGAAAGACCAGATGGTAAAAGATCGACAGGAAGGCCTAGAAAAAGGTGGAAAGACGCAGTCAGGGAAGACCTGGAGAAGATGGAAGTAAGGCCATGGGAAATAATAGCACAGGATCGGAATTAATGGAAGGCAATAGTAAACGCGGCAAAAACTCACGAAGAGTTGTAAAAGCCAATGATGATGATGATATCTAAATATAAAGAAAAATATTATTAATTATTGTGTAAGTACTTATACAATAATTATTGTATTCTAAATATTTAAATTGGTAATTTAATTATTAAATTAGCGTTTTGGATTCATTGCATTATGTGTGAAAGACAAATTACATTTTTCTATTATTATTTATATACTTTTTACTTTATATGCCCTGGGGTGGGAGGGGTCTCTTCTTCTTTGGGTGCTATCTTCTTAGCGAAGGTTGGCGATGACCTCTGCAAAGTCTGCCCTATTTTGGGCTTCTGTCCAATCTTTGATGTTGCGCAGCCAGGTCATTTGTCGTCTACCCGGGTCGCGTCTGCCTTCTATTTTCCCTTCTATAATGAGCTGAATGAAGGAAGTTATACCTGTCGTGTCTAAATATCTGTCCAAGATAAGACGTTTTACGCTTCTTGACAATTTCTGTGAGTTCACGTTCTCTATTCATACGCCTTAAAACTTCTTCATTTCTAACGCGGTCGGTCCATGGAATTTTCAGCATACGACGAAATACCCACATCTCAAAGCTCTCCAAATGTCGTAACGAGCTGACTGTTAACGTCCAAGCTTCCACGCCGTGGAGACACAGCGATAGAAGACTCTACAGAACGTTCTTCTTGCTCATGAAAAATTGATGCGAGAAAAAGAACTCAAGAACCTGGAGACATAATAAAAACTTCACCTTGCAGGAGCTCAAAAATTGTGTTCAGTTAAAAATAAATCCAAGAAAATTAGTAGAAAGAACGACCCTGTAGCAGCTATTACTATGGATTTTCAGAAAAATCTTCTAACTCCTTACAGCACTGCCAATGACGTCTATTACAGAAGACAACTGAGTTTCTACAGCTTCAATATTCACAATATATCCAGTGGAGATATCGCCTTATAACATACGATGAAACAGTTGCTCGTAAGGATTCTGATGATGTATATTCTATGCTTAACAGTTTTGTGGAAAAATTTTTGCCTGACAAAATTCATCAATTACAAATTTTTTTGTGATTCTTGCATTCGCTATCTCCATTACCTCGTGGCTGAAAAACATCGTTTCGACAGCATTGAAGTATTTTTACCTGTTGAGGTCACTCATTTTTTTGAGTGCGATAAAAACATGAGCTATATAAACCAAACTCCTACGTTGAATTATCCAATGAATGTAGGGAGTTTATCAAGCACACCAGAAAAAAGCCTTTGCCATTCGCTGTGATTGACTGTAAAAAAGAGTTTTTCAGTGCCTGAACAAAGGCAACAAGTTCCCAACAGAACTGCTCTTTCCCTACCAGGTCAATGCGTTGTTTAAAAGTCGAAGCTGTCCATCCCACAAAAGTTTTTTTATCGAAACACATTCTGCGGCGTGTACTTGAGCGCAGATATTACGTGGAAACCACCAAAAACAGGCAAGACAAAGGAAAACCTGCTCCATCAAGAGAAAATGTTGAAAACCTTTATAAAGACCTAATCTCGATTTCTCAACGATTTTTGAACGATTTTTGATCAATCCAGATGCTACACAACCTAGATGAACACACAACCTAGCCACACAAACAGTGAATACCTCTACCTGGATTACAATCTAGATGAAGAACATTAAGCGGATATTTTTTGTTTGTAAAATGTTTTTGAAATTGCATAAACATCATTTGACATGTCAAATAAATTTGTTTTTACCTAA